TAGCAGCGAACCGCGTTCAAAAATCTTTAAATATAATTAATGATTTGTTAAACCGGATTAAAACTAAAGGAAGTATGTATTCTATAGAAGTTTAAATAAGCATTTTAAAAACGAGAAAAAAGTGAAATTAAACTTAGGTAATGTATAAATCAAATGCTATTCAAATGCTAACTTTCTTGGTGTTACATTTGACATAAAACTCAGACGGGCAGAACATATAAAGAAAATAAATGAAACATTGTCAAGAATATGAATCATCTTAGACGTGTTGCGGGTAAAAACAAAGGATGCAAACCTAAATACTATATGGACAATTTATGAAGTATATATACGACCCATCATTGAGTATGGTTGTCAATTTACCCTCAATATGCCTGATATCACCCTTAGAGAATTACAAGTAAAGCAGAATAGGGTTTTGAGATTAGCCCCAAGACTTCCTACGTTCACTACATTATAAAAATATTAACACAAAGCACAAGCTAGAAACACATTCACCTCTGCCCTTCACACCACACTAAACAACATCTCCATGTAACATGTACCGCAGTCTAACATAAAATAACAAGCAGGTACACAGACAAATCAAGATTTACAATATATTTTTAGGGGGTTATCTAACTAGTTGTTAGATACTGCCTTTTGGCTTGGGTACAGAAGAAGTAGATTATTCCGTACTTGTCTTGTGAAAGTGGGTTTTTCGGGATACTCCTGTCCCCTTGCACATCAAATTCTAAGATATGGGAGTTATAGTTTCCTGCCACCTGGAAAAGAGTTCATTTCACTGTCTGTCAGTAAAACTTAGTTGTTTGATAGTCAAGTCTCTTCACTAAAGGTCACGTTTGTGAACTTTGTGCTTTGCTTGAACCTGACTTCCTTTGTGAACTTTACATCAATATGACTGGCTTTAATAACTTTAACAATACATCAATTACAATCAATATCTCTCGATACAAATACCCTAGTTGGGAAGGGTTCGCATTCTGCTAAAGAAAATATCTGTCAGATTAAAAATAAGATAAATCATCGTGATTCTAGGAGATGTCCTTTCAAACAACATCTTTAGGTTGAGGATGTAAGCAGTCAAGGTTTTATGTGCATCTTTGCCATCGAGCTTTAAACTCAGTCACGTGGATTGCTCGTTACTTTCCAGGGTCAAATTCACGGTGCAAGGTACTGACAACTTTGTCACAGTCTTTGAGTCACTTCTTGTTCCAATTTTCAAGGATATCAACTACTAGACCATCTATATTCAGTATGGCACTTTGATCTGCTTGTCTCTAAGTCAAGCCATTCCAAGCAAAAATGTGCTTGAAATATTTCAAATCCTCCTTTGTCATCCTCTTAACACTGGTGGTTTCAAGTGTTTTACATCATCGTGAAGGTGGAGACAGGTTTGTATACCACTGCATATGTGGGTTTCGTGACGGTGAAGACAGATTAATAGTTTGTATATCACATCATGTGTGGGTTTCGTGAAGATGAAGACAGGTAATTGTTTGTATACAACCACATGTGTGGGTTTCGTGAAGGTGAAGACAGGTAATTGTTTGTATACCACTACATGTGTGGGTTTCGTGAAGGTGAAGACAGGTAATTGTTTGTATACCACTACATGTGTGGGTTTCGTGGAGGTGAAGACATGTAACTGTTTGTATACCACAAAATGTGTGGGTTCGGGGAAGCCCTACTTCTCAAAAGTCCAGAGACAAGCACATACAGCAATGACTGCATCTTCTAGCAAAGTGTGCACTACAATTCCACAATGCATAAAGAAAAACATCAGTATCGTATCTTAGTTGATCTCAGTTGCCACGTTCAATCTCCCGCATTGACAGTATGTTCCGTTAGTTAAGAAGACTCCTTAATGTCTCAAAGATTAACTGGATTATGAAAAACACACCTGAATGCCCCAAGGATCATCTGGGTTATGGAAAGACGCACCTGAATGACATATAGGTCATCTGGATTATGGTGAGACACTCCTGAATGCCTCAAGCATCCACCTGATTATTGTGAGATACTCCTGAATGCCTCAAAGATCCATTGGATTATGGTTAGACACTGATGAATGCCCGAATAATCCACTGGACTATGGTTAGACACTGATGAATGCCCGAATAATACACTGGATTATGGTTAGACACTCTTGAATGCTTCAAGGATCCACTAGATTAAGGCGAGATATTCGGGAATGCCTCAGGGGTCATCTGGATTATGATTAGATATTCTTGAATGCTTCAACGATCTACTGGACTAAGGTGAGACACTCCTGAATGCATCAATAATTCACTGGACTAAGGTGAGATATTCCTGAATGCGTCAAGGATCATCTGGATTATGGTGTGGTATTCATAAATACCTTAAAGATCCCCTGAATTATGGTGAGACACTCCTGAATGCTTCAAATATCATTTGGATTATTGTGACGCATTCCTGAATGCCTCAAGAATCATGTTGATTATGCTGAGACACAGACTTCACGATCATCTTTGTCCACCAGTTGTTAATAACAAACATATTGAAGTCCCATATAGACCACACCTGTATGTGAAAGTTAACCATAACTCTCGGTCATGACGATTGGTCAAGAACTAGGACATAGTTCTCTTTATGACCAGTTAAATCCCTTGGTCTTAGAGTACATCTATCTTAGTCCTTGCCATAATCTCAGATCGAGTCCTCACCTTAACCCCAACTTGTACGTGTTCAGATCGAGTCCGCACTTTAACCAAAACGTCTACGTGGTCTCGAAAGTGTCCTTCCGTGTAGATCAAGTTTTACAAACATTACAACACTAGAGTCAAACAGAAAATAAACATGTTCACAATAAACTCGGAATTAAACAAATCCTTTGAACACAGCACGGAAATGTAATTTGATAACATGATCTGAAGTATTCAGATATAGTGATATCCACCAGATTTAGAGACATGTATCAGATACTGACAAGTACAATACATTGATATCCACCAGATAAAATGATTCACCTGATATTAGTAATCGAAAAATACAAATGGTACGCAGATATTGTCTAAAACAACAAGTATCTTAAGGTATGTCTGAATATTAATTTATTCCCATAAACACACGATAGAGGATGATTGTTCTCTCCTAAAGATACGTCCATTCTCATCGACAACAAACATAGCAGAAAGATTCCTTTAGCTCAGGATCTAAAATTTACATCAGAGATTTTGCTTCGTGTTTACCCAGCCGATCTGAATGTAATAAACGTATTTTACTTGAGGAGAGGGGATCAGGTGGTTGAAGAATGTTACTGTTATCTTTGAATTTGATATAAACTTTGGTGGTTCTAGTGAGTCCTGAAGAAACTTACTAATAAGGCCTGATGCAAGAATCATAGCTTGATATCTTGATAAAAATTTTAAATGTGTCGTTTTATACTACTTCTTTATGCAATCATATTTGAAAGATCTCGGCCTGGCGCTTGAGTGATACGGAAGAAATATCTTTTAACGCTTGCGTAATATGAAGGAAAAATATTTTTAACAAAAGATTCTTCTCACGTTTGGAAGCGATGATCAGAATTTTAGAATACTTCTCATCATTCACTACAGATGGCGCCTGTCTATTATATGCTAAAATGTTTCAAATGTTGTTTGTTTGTTTTGTTTGTTTGTTTTTAAT